ATCATTTGTAAGCCTCATAATGCGACTTTGATCTTGGGTATTTTACTTACAGAAAACAATTGAGATACCAATTTTGATAATATTCACACTAAAGGCACCAGGTTGATAGGCCGTTTACGAAATGTTGATATCCTACCAGCTGAGGATCTTATATAGCGTTATAATATAGAATAATAGTCTCGTATCCTAGACTTACGATTGAAAACCAAAAGAGGTACCACTGTGATGTACACTGCCTCTGAAATATATCCCATCTCAAAAAGGCGTTTCTTCTTCCCCTACAACTTCTAAATCTAAGCCTTATAATAAGGAGTTTTTACAAGCATACGCGAAAACGATAACGAATACAGTTACGTCATCAAATTGTTGGACAACCCTTTATCCTACAGTAACATATCTGTCATCGCAAAGTAGACGATCCATGCCTTGTGCATGAATCAAGGATCATATTCAGCTAGACAGCAAATTTCCAAGAATGTTTCAGGCAGGAATGACGATTATGATTATGATAATGACTATTCGTATCGTTTTCGTTAGGTTGCAATCAAAATAATGTTATTGTGTAATATGAAACAGATGTAACGTCCTATTATTCGTTGCAAATTCAAATCTTGCTGGTTCTACCCATGGAGGAAGGTTCCTCCATGTTCTACCGGAAGTCTATTTTCAAGCGATTTTAAGACTAAAATGATAAATTCATTAATAAGCCTTAGGCTTAATTCATTATACGTAAAAATAATGACAGTGCTGTTAGTACTGAATTGATGTGGGGAAGAATGAACCGAACAAGTAAGGTTATCACACATGTCTGCTTTTTTTTATTAACTGGTTTTATATTACAAACAGTGAAATTAATCACTATTAAAAGTGGCATATAACTTCACAAGACACTTAAACACAAGATGTTCTACATTATAAGTCTCATTGTGAGGCTAGGGAGTGGAGTTGTTTTGGTCATGAGCAAAAAAAATCCTGCTATTGTGACAGGAAAGGAACCCAGGACCCCGGGATTGGAAGGCAATCTTAACCACCAAGTTATTCAACTCCGCTCATACTGCTTCGAACTTTATAGTGCCGCATCTGGTTTGATACCTGTTACGGTACTATGTCAGCGGCCGGAGACACCCTTTTGCCTCTTTTCATTTAAAAAAACTAAATAGGGTCTGCAATTGTTTTTCAGACTGTTTTTTTATATATTATATACGGCTAAATATATGAAATAAAATGAAAAACCAATATAGGATTGTTGTTGTTATAAAATGACAGTCCCCGTTGAGAATACACTTGCCGTTTGATTAGCAAGGCAGAATGCGGGTTACGTGGGCTCTGTTTCAGAAGGACTTGGGATTTGGCCTATCTATAATTATGGTTCATCAATCCTAAAACGAATTCAAATAAGGAGATACACATAATTTCAAACGCACGACCAATGACCTATATGCCTTTGCATAAGCTTTCCATCAACTACTCTATTCAAATTTGATAAGATGGTTCACTGCAAATGTACGATCTATAGGTTGTTTGTGTCATTATTAATGATAAATTACAATTAGATGATTGTGGTTGCGAATACACATGATATAATTTATAAGCCATGGAAGCATGAGCATACGTTCAGATAATTACATCTAGCTATCCCCACGCACTAATTAATAATGTCTTATTTTAAGTTGCTCTGTATTGGTTTTCCTGTAACAATAAATAGTTGTCATCAATAAAAAAAAAATGTGCATACAGTTACGCTAATGTTGAAAATATCAATCGAGTATCTTTCACCATGGTTACACGACTACAGGCATATTGATACTAATGAAGTCACTGGGGACGAGTCTTCATTTCCTAGAGCAGCTTCCATTTGTTAATCTTTCCATCTCTTAAGAGATTGGCCATCATGAATCGTATATCAAGGTATAAATATGAACATATCGCAGGCGATTTTATAGCCGATTTCCTCTGGAGGCAATGACGTACATGACACAGTAAGCAAAAATGAACCTATAATGAGCGTCCTGAGGAACGACTATACAATACAGCTTATACACTGAGTGATAATAAAAACTAAAAGTAAAACATATCCTTAGATCAATCATCGTAAAGTATGTCTGATTGAAATTTCCTCACCTTTGCTAGGTAAAGATTTGTACAGACTACCCCATTTTCTTATGCCCATATAAGGACATGATGACATCACATCATGACCATATGATAGAGCTGGCCCAGCCCGTCCCCCTCCCAAAGAAAAAGAAATTATTGATCGCCCAAAATGCCTCAGAGTATATTTCCGGGTATCTAGAAAATAAAAAGGTCCTGGGTATAGTGTTGTCTCTCGATCGCCCCCTCACTTTTCAGGGACATCGGTCCCCCTTTCGGACAACTCTGGATCCGCCCATGAGTAGTCTATATTCGGGGAAAGAAAGGGATTATAATTACATGTACGGTTTTAAAAAATGACAAAATGATGATATCAAATATGCAATCATCATTTTATTAGTGCTTTTAGGGGAAAGGAGGAAAAGTGTTACAAGAAAGTATGTTTCTACTTATTTGAGGATGATACAAAATGTACGACTTCTACAAGGATGTCATAATTAAAGGGTTCTTAAATTGGAGGGTGGACTCTTCTCTCCGTTAAGCTTAAAAATATCACATAACACATGGGTCCATGAAGGAGGACTAAAAATGTAAACGAGTGTAAAGATAAATAATGTTGATAGGGCCAGTGGCAGTGATTACCCGAATTCATTTCTGTGCGGCATCATTTGCCACAAGGGTTGAACAAGTTCATCAGGTTTCTGAAAAGCCTAAAACATTCTGGATGCTGACAACTGACAAACTAAGCATGGGTGCAGCGGCCAGTGCATATTTGAACGAAGGTGCTCGGAAGTACGTATTCATGCATTGACTGTACTGTATAAAGAAGATTAAGTAACACACTGCAGAGCTGTTTAAATGATTGAATCCAATATAATTAGCAGATAACTCCTACAGCAGTTGTTTGTTACCTAGATTTAAAATTATAATAAAAGATAATTGATGTTAAAAAGACAAACACGTTTACAAAATTATAAAACAAGTTTTATAAACAATTATAAACATTGTTCTGCCGTTGATAGGCCTAGATATTTGTTAATGATTAAACTATTTTTGTATTTTAGTGAACTTATTCCAAAAGTGGTATCGTATGGTATTAGAGGTTGTCAGTTGGATTTCAAAAAGGTAGTGTCGGTCTCAAATAGAAGGGGTTCTCGTGACTAAAGTGCGAACTCAGTTATAAAATATTGGTTGATTGAAAAAATGGTCTAAATTTAATAAGGGCAGAATTAACTAAAGGATGAGCTGTACTTAGGCCTATTATAATTATCATCATCGTAGCAGTACTACACAGTATTATTATTATTATTATTGTTGTTGCTGTTGTTGTTGATGTTGTTGTTAGCTACTACCATTTTGGGGATAGGATAAGCTTATTAATTACAATCTTATCAATAGCCCTACCATGTAATTATGGTACTATACGTGCAACGTGCAACAAGTGAATAAAACGTAATTCAGTGACAGCTGAACCGCCTGTTTTTGGACAAGCAGAAGTATCGTGCCGAATTACTATGCACCAAAAGATACATTTTTTACTATCAACCTACACCAACCCTTTTGGTAGCAACTACGATAAATACAAGAATGTTGAATATAAAACGCATGCTTACCTAGCTTTCAAAATGATGAGATAGGCAACATCAATTATTGCAGATTTAACTAGATTAGATCACAACATCGTCAAGTAACTCCAACATAAGATCTCCCGTCAACATTTCAAGAAGTAGCACAACGTCGCGATAGCATATTATTCTACGATTACTAACGTGAAGTGCATGTTTTTGGCATCATCGAGAGCACGGTTTATTGCACCACAGATAGAATCTGTGAGTGTATGGTCCTAATACATTGTAAAGAAGATGATCATTGCAGACGGACGATGGTTGGGTGACTCTATTATGGTGAATCGTTGATTTCTGCTAAGCTTATCGCATGAGGGAGCCCAACAGCGTGTTAGTTTTCTCATGTCGAAAGTTGAAGAATGTTGAATGATTGTATAATAATCGATTTACTGTCCTATTAAATTTACTGTTCGTGGCAATTATTATTGTAACAGAAATGTCTCGTATTTCCACTAACGTTGTTAAAGTTGTTTATACAGGCATATTATAATTGGTCACTACGAGTTGTAATAGTGATGTACCTATACATTATAAATAAGTTCATAATTACCATTGTTGTAAATGTGTTGAATGTACTAGTAGACATAGGTGTTATTGATCAACAATATTCGAATACATTAAAGGAGTGTTTGGAAATTGTTGGTTTTAATTTGTTTAGCTATTCTGACACTGCAAACATATTGGTAAAGTAAAAAAAAAATATATGTATATATGTATAAATTAAATAAACTCACGATAAATATCCTTTGAAAAGGCAATGGATCAAATTGAGGTCATTTTTAAGTAGTTGATCTAAGCTCCTGTGACATATCCATTCAAACAAACTTTTACTTAACGCTGCATATTATTGTTAAAAAGGGCGGCGACAGGATTCCCCCGACGGGGGTCGATTTCCCGACGAGAGCAAAGTGGGCGTGGTCGAGCGTCGCTTAAAATGTTTTAAAAATTGGTCCAGGGGGCGAAGCTTCCGAAAATGTTGACAATTTGTAAATATCTAAAGTAACTCGACAGTGTGAGAAAATATTAAAGAAATGAACAGCAAACGTTTATTTATTGGTTAATATTATTGAAAACTATATTATAAAATATTGTTGTTTTTAATTATACAGTATAAAACTATTACTAAAAGGCTAAGAATTTGGGCCCTGAACATCTTGCATGGAACTGAAATGAAATTTTTTGGTGCTTGGGCACTGCACGGTTATTCTTGACTATAGGATAACGTAAAGATCAATAGCTACTCTAGTGTAAGCTTTGGCCTACGAATACTTATTGTTATATTACCTGCAAAATATCGACTATATGCCTACTTACTAGTTGTGATGAATACTCGGTAAAAAATAATGAAATGCCACGCCAACAGTATTCTGCAGAGATGGAGCACTATCCAATTCAGATTTCCATATGGGTCTTCCACTTCAATTCATTCCAAGTCTCCCCAGCGAATGCATTTTAAACAGAGGTAGCCCTTGACGCTATTGGATATCTTCTTTACAATGTGTTTGTCTTCCCATTCAGAGAACTAAGGAATCGTATACAAAAACACATTATTTGCCACTGTCCAACCATGAGACTGATTTAAGATTCGCTGGGAATCTATATAGAGTCTATAACCGTGATTAATTTCGATTCTATACCGAGACAATAACCTTTTAGACCTCAGCATGTTATTGAAATGTTAATCTCGTATAAATTGGAGTAGGCCAATATTACATTCACAATATCAACAGGCCTATCGATACATTCATAGAGTTGAGCTCTCTAAATTTTGGGTTCACGTTCATCCATATCCTATTTTTAGAAAAAAAAAATATACAACATATTGCGCAGATTCGTCCATCCTTCGTGTCATTGGTTTCACCGAAGTCCACGTTGGTGGTGAAAAAACAAAATAGATATGATTCTATGAATATAAACCTTAAGTTATGACCAAAAAGATGGGTTTACTGCATCACGCTTGGAGTGCCAGCACCACGTTTAAGGCTTCATTAAACAATCCATGAGAGACAGTTGATCTGCTACCCTTTTAAGACGAGACTCGCTCATACTTACATACAGATGTAAAATTAAAATATAACGATCAAATGTAGGCCTATTACGACATAGCATGATACAGTACCTGCATTTATTGGACCATGTAATGTACAATGTTCGAAAACGATATAGGCCTATCTAAAGGCACAGCGACAATCCCCAAAATTAAGACTGGCTATAAAGGCATATAAATAATAATTTTGTATCTAGGCATCCAGTACGTTGTTAACATAATTCAATACAGTACCAGCAAATCATAAGCAACGAAACAATTATTATAAACAAGACCGTCATTTTAGTAATTTCACTTCATTACTGTACCGGCAACTGCTGTTTTTTGTTTACAAAATTAATTCGAGTGGCTTTATGTTTTATTATTATTAGGAGTTTACCATCTACGAGTAGGCCTGTTTTAAATTAGGACATAAACGGAAATTTCTATTAGGTCACGTGATTTGATTCAGTTATTTACTGTACAATCAGAATATTTACAGTATGATTCAGTTATTTACCGTTTACTGTATTAAACTGTATGGCACGACCATGTTACCAGAGTGTCGACCTCACTGGAAAAAAAAAATCCAGTAGACTTCCGTGGGTTATCCTCAAAGACTGCCCACTGATTAAAATTATAAAATTCCCTACTTTACGGTAAAATTGGCGTGCAATTGAAAATTAGTAAAAATGATTTGACTGTAAATTAACAGATAGGCCTAAAATTACTGAAATTTAGTAGTAGGAAAAACTAGAAAAACTAGAAAAACAAGATACATACAGCAAAAAAAAAAAAAAAAAAAAAAATAAATACTGTATCACCGAAATTCACGATGGCATCCAAAACCAACGGAAGTTTGTTTATCAAGCCTACATACGACTGGAGATTTTTGATAGGCCCTATTATTCAATATCTCATCACGTCATTTCTGGTCATCTAGGCCACCACAAACAAACACAAGTATAAGCTGGATGTATCACACACTGTTGACAAAAATTTAAGCGGGACATCACGGTATTAGAAATTTGGTGGGCTTTAATCGGAAACCCCCCCCCCCCCCAAAAAAAATCTTTATCATCAAATTTCCTATTGAAATGCCTATTCCATACCTTTGAACATTCCATTTCGTTGTGTGAATATGTACTATTATTATTTTTTAAAGGGGAAAAACCCTTTAGCCTAAATCTTGAACATGATTGCCACAATCCCATTTTCACCAAAGGAATACTCCTTGTTAGGCCTAACTATGATAAATTGACACTCATAATATCCGGGATTTTATGAGGGGAAGTTTTTTATTCCACATTTCTCTTTAAGGTACCGCAATTAAGCTATGTCTCAATTTTTTTTTTTTTTTTACTATTTTTTTTTTAAAACTAGGATGATGCCTATGCTCAAAGTTGTCCAACTTTCCATCTAGCCTTCCGCACTTTCTTGTAGGCCTACGTTTTTTGGTTTTGTTTTTTTTGTTTTTGTTTTTTTTGTTTTTTTTTTGTAGTTTTTGTTGATCTTGAATGCGAAGAGGGCAACTATAAAGAAAAAAAAAATACTATCAAATTGTTTGGTCAAAATTATTTATTTATTTAATTTATTCACACCGATGCTCGCAAAGTGGATGCGCTTGTATTGAGTGTCTAGAAAAGTAAGTTTCGATTCCGTTCGGCCGTCAGAGAGAGCATCAGAGATACTGTAATAGCTTTAGCTTTAAATAAATGGAGCTGACCATCAGAGCGTGCATTGAAAACTTGAAATTGCTACTTATTGACCACGCAAATGAGGATAATATATGTGGAGAATTCGTTCACTTACTATCAATTTTATTATTACAGAAACAGTAATAATGTTGTATCATAATGTTTTCAAATTTATATTATTTAAAAAAAATATGTTTTGTTATACATTGTTATAGGAAATACTGACCTCGTTTAGACTAAAGTGATCTTAACCAGGAAGTTCCAAACCCAACAAAATGGCGTCATCTGGAGGAGATGTTGACTGGGGTGGGGTACAAAAAGTGCTAATTTCAGCATCCCAATCATCATTCAAGACCTGTGACATATCAATTCTTGTTGATTGTATATTGAAGAGGTATGGTTATTAAAATTTGATTATATATGTCTATAAATAACTTCCGAATTTTAGGCATTAAGCTAGGCCCAGAGTCTTGCTTGAACTTTTTTTTAGCCAGACATTTGTAGGTCTAGGACCTAGCCCTAGGCCTATCCTAGCTGGTAAAGGTCTAGGCCTAAAGGCTAGGCCCTAGCATACTAGTTTCAGGGCCTCTATAGCATACTAGTGCCTACTAGTTACTGTAGGAGCAAACAAAAAATTATATCTTTCAATTAACTTCAAATATACATTACTAGCCTAGCCTAGCTAGCTAGGTCTTGAATGCGAAGAGGGCAACTATAAAGAAAAAAAAATACTACAGTACTATCAAATTGTTTGGTCAAAATTATTTATTTATTTAATTTATTCACACCGATGCTCGCAAAGTGGATGCGCTTGAGTGTCTAGAAAAGTAAGTTTCGATTCCGTTCGGCCGTCAGAGAGAGCATCAGAGATAATGTAATAGCTTTAGCTTTAAATAAATGGAGCTGACCATCAGAGCGTGCATTAAAAACTTGAAATTGTTACTTATTGACCACGCAAATGAGGATAATATATGTGGAGAATTCGTTCACTTACTATCAATTTTATTATTACAGAAACAGTAATAATGTTGTATCATAATGTTTTCAAATTTATATTATTTAAAAAAAATATGTTTTGTTATACATTGTTATAGGAAATACTGACCTCGTTTAGACTAAAGTGATCTTAACCAGGAAGTTCCAAACCCAACAAAATGGCGTCATCTGGAGGAGATGTTGACTGGGGTGGGGTACAAAAAGTGCTAATTTCAGCATCCCAATCATCATTCAAGACCTGTGACATATCAATTCTTGTTGATTGTATATTGAAGAGGTATGGTTATTAAAATTTGATTATATATGTCTATAAATAACTTCCGAATTTTAGGCATTAAGCTAGGCCCAGAGTCTTGCTTGAACTTTTTTTTAGCCAGACATTTGTAGGTCTAGGACCTAGCCCTAGGCCTATCCTAGCTGGTAAAGGTCTAGGCCTAAAGGCTAGGCCCTAGCATACTAGTTTCAGGGCCTCTATAGCATACTAGTGCCTACTAGTTACTGTAGGAGCAAACAAAAAATTATATCTTTCAATTGACTTCAAATATACTTTACTAGCCTAGCTAGCTAGGCGTAGGCCTAGATAGAGCTACCTGTAGGGCCTAGGCCTAGGTAGACCTAGAATTTCACATTAATTCAATGGCAAGAACACATTGATGTGAGTACGAAATCCAAATGAACTTTATTATCTTTCATTATTACTTTTGCAATGCATTGCTCAATGGTTTACCTGGTATTAGCATTAGACACCTTCAAAAACTTCAGAACTCTGCTGCTCGTATTGTAACATTGTCTAAAAGGTTCACCCACATTACTCCAATTTTAAACATTCTTCACTGGCTTCCAGTTGGTAAGCAAATCATTTTTAAAATTCTTCTTACCCAAAAATCTATCTATGGTCGTGCCCCACTTTATCTCTGTTCGCTTATTGACAAACATGTTTCTTCCCGTTCTACTCGTTCTTCTCAATCCCTCAAACTTGTTATTCCACGAGTCAAGCATATTCGTACCAGTGAACGCTCTTTTTCTTTCTCTGCTCCTAAACTCTGGAACTCTCTGCCTCCTCAATTACGTATCATTTCTGATCCGCAATTATTCAAATCTACTCTTAAATCTTCCCTCTTCAAGTAGTTCAACTTCTTTATAACATCCTCCAGCGCCGGTGACAAGCCAGTTTTGTTTGCTTTAATAGGCACTTTAAAAATGTGTATTATTATTATTAGTATTAATTAATAACAAAACAAAAGCATCTTCAGTTGGCAAATGCAGACAAAAAAAGTTAAGAAAAAAAATTCATATTGTAATCTAGGCCTATGCCTACTACTGTTTAGATGACAACAATTGGTTGAATATTTACAGAGTTATGCTAAATACACATTGGCCTATCTTTAAGGTGTGACCATATGGTTATGCATGCATTATTAATGTGAATGAGTTATTTTAAACTAATATTTTTTTGTATTACATTGTAAACGTTCTAAACCTATCACTACTAAGTTTTTTGAAAGTGTTAGGAAATTATCGGAGAACATTGTCCGAGTGTTGGTTTTTTTGCAATACCCAGGAAAATGCCCCATGTGAACCCGATTTTTTTTTTCCCGATATTGTCACACTTTCCTACTTGGGATTTTGACAAGCACACACACAGGTGTGCTCCTAGCTATCTCTACATACTTTTTGTAATGTTAGGCCCATTTTCAGGACGATAGGGCCCCGAGTCATGTATTTATGATCACGCATCGCAATAACGTATTTTGACAGTAATTATGTCATGTATTTGTTATTCCACTTAAGGGTGTATACACATCCATTCTACACCAAATACCATAAACGCCCCCCTTGAATAGATGCTCCTTAACACCTCTTAACAATAAACACCACAGGGTGTTTATTGAAATAAATGTGGTATATGCCCATATATTATAATGTGCAGTGGTCATGATTTTAAGTTATCATGACTATAATTAAGTATGTCACATGTTTTTGTCAAATAAAATGTGATAGCC